TCACACAGTGGCCAACAATACCAGGTGCCATCAGGAGGTCCAACAGTGGGGCCAGGACACTAGAAGCTCTCCCACTGTTGCCCCCCACCAAGCACCAAGAACACAGATCATCACTTGATCCAGACCGAGAGTCCCTCTCTATTCCTTGTGGCTAATAGCCACCGATGGACCTCTGCTCCATATGCTTATCCAATTGCCTCTTATAAAAACACAAGAGAAGCCAATGCTGGATCAGGCCAATGGCCCATCCAGTCCAACACTCTGTCACACAGTGGCCAGAAATACCAGGTGCCATCAGGAGGTCCAGCAGTGGGGCCAGGACACTAGGAGCCCTCCCACTGTTGACCCCCACCAAGCACCAAGAATACACAACATCCCTTGACCCAGGCTGAGAGTTCCTCTCTATTCCTTGTGGCTAATAGCCACTTATGGACCTCTGCTCCATATGCTTATCTAATTCCCTCTTGAAGCCCGTCCATGCTTGTAGCCGCCGCCACCTCCCGTGGCAGTGAAATCTAGGCAGTTCTGCCTAGAGATCTCTGGGTGGAGATCAGTTCCCCTGCAGAAGATGGTCACTTCGGAGTGTGGACTGTATGGCCTCGTACCCTGCTGAAGTCCCTCCCCTCCCCAAACTCCACCTTTCCCCTGGCTCCACCCCCAAAATCTCCAGGTATTTCCCAACCCAAACCTCTGCTCAAAATAGACATCACAGCATGATATGGGTCAGGGAATGGGGTTAGGGTTGCCAGCTCGGGGTGCAGAAATACCCGGAGATTTGGGGGGGGGCGGAGCCTGGAGAAGGTGTGGTTTGGGGGAGGGGAGGGGCCTCCGCGGGCTACAATGCCATAGAGTCCGCCTTCCAAAGCGGCCCTTTTCTCCCGGGGAATTGATCTCTGTAGTCCGGAGAGCAAATGTCATAGCTGTCCGATCCTCCAGGCATTCAAATAAATCCACGTTTGTAGCAAAGTAGCATTTATTAAAGCAATGGTGAAACAGGAACACAAGGATTGTTAAGAATGGAGACTAACCCCGGGGTGCAAGATAATATACAAATTCATACCAAACCGTGGCCAATGGGTCCAATTCCCGCGTGCGGGGAAACAGGTAAAATAGGCGCCCAAAACCCCTGGGAACAAACGGTTCTAACCATAAACATTATTTCGCTTCTCAAGCCCTAGCTCATTATAATCAAAGCAAACCCAAAACGCCTCCCATCTTCCACCAGTCAACCTTGAGCGTTATCTAAGTTCCAAAGCAGCCCTAACTGAGAGGGAAAGGAATGTACCTAATGAGCACAGCAAAAGCCAAAGGAACTACAAGCCAGTGCTCGGCTGGGGGGGGAATGAGCATAAGCTGGGAGCATACAATGTCACACAGAACTCCATGGCAGCTGGCTGACAATAGCGGGAGATCTCCTGGTCCCACCGGAGGTCGGCAACCTTAGCACGGCTGCCCAACAGGGTCGCTAGCCTCTGGGTGGGGCCTGCAGATCTCCTGGGATTAGAACTGATCTCTAGGCAACAGAGCTCCATTCCTCTGGAGAAGAATGGCTGCTTCGGAGGGCGGGCTGGAGGGCGTTACACCCCATTGGTGTCCCTCCGCAAAGCCCCGCCTCCCTACGGCCCACCCCCAAACCCCCAGGAATTTCCCAACCCAACCACTCTCCCAGTGAAGAGTCTTATCTACTGAGTAGGGTTGCCAGCCTCCAGGCGGGGCCGGGAGATCTCCCGCTTCTGCAACGGATCTCCAGCAGACAGAGACCAGCTCCCCTGGAGAAAAGGGTTCTAGTCCAGTTACAGCCCACAAATTTGCTTCTTCCTCTTTTTTTGTGTCTTTACTTAACGTCATGCAGTGCAGCTGCTGCTTCCAACAATCGCCATGCGACTACAGATTTCTCCGGTAAACAATCTGTTCCCCTCAGTGCTTCGTCAGGTCGCTTTCTACTTGGAGCCCATGCTCTACGTCTCCCGCTCAGGATTAACCTTGTATTTTCTCGACATCTCTAGTCACATGGCAATTGTTGGAATCAGCAGCAGCAGCAGCACTGCATGACATTAAATAAAGAAATTAAAAAAGAAGAAGAAGCAAATTCGTGGGCTGTAATCGGACTAGGATCAGAGTTGCACAGTGAACATTGGTGGGGTGCAACCTTGGTTGAGTCCCTGTGGTCCATTTGTGGCTGGAACTCCCCTGGAGAAAATGGCTGCTTTGAAGGGTGGACTCTATGGCATGGTACCGTGGCGTGGCCTCTCCCCTCCCCAAACCCTGCCCCCTCCTGGATCCACCCCCAAAGACTCCAGGTATTTTCCAACCCAGACCTCCCAACCCTACTACTGAGCCGCCCTTGTTCGAGGGTAGGGGGTAGGGGGTAGGGTTGCCGGATTCAAGTTCAGAAATTCCTGGAGATTTGGGGGTGGAGCCTGGGGAGGACAGGGACCTCAGTGGGGTGTCATGTCACAGTGTCTCCCCTCCAAAGCAGATATTTTCTCCAGGGGAACTGATCTCTGTAGCCTGAAGATGAGCTATAGTTCTGGGTAGCACTCCCTCTAAACTGTTGTGTCTTGTGAGCAGAAATTCTACTTTGTGAGCTGCTGGCATTAAAGTTGTGAGCGAACGATTTGGCTGCCGCATGAATTAGTTTGCTCTGGAGCCGTGTTGCCTCTAAGCTGAGTTAGCGTGAGCTAGCGCACAGTTTTTTAGCCTCCGGCTCACACCTTTTTGTCTCCGGTCAGGAAGGACGGCTCCAGAGCAAACTAATTCATGCGGCAGCCAAATCGTTCGCTCACAACTTTAATGCCAGCAGCTCACAAAGTAGAATTTTTGCTCACAAGACTCCGCAGCTTAAAGGGAGCATTGCTCTGGAGCCCTCCTTCCTGAGCTAAGACAAAAAATGTGTGAGCCGGAGGCTAAAAAAACTGTGAGCTAGCTCACGCTAACTCAGCTTAGAGGGAACACTGGTTCCGGGGGGGATCCCCAGGTCCCGCCTGGAGGCCGGCATCCCTACCTGCCGGGCTTACCTTTGCTGTTGCCATCCGGGCCTCGAAGGATCGTGCACTCCTCGATGTTCCCGAAGGCCTCAAATAGCCTGCGCACATCGTCTTCCGACTGCTGCTTGTTGAGCATGCCCACAAAGAGTTTTCTGTCTTCTGGAACAAAATAAAGAGATGCTTACCATATTTCAGAAGGAATGGGAAAGCAGAACAGACTCAGTAGAGCAGCAGCTGCTGGGGCAAGTTTTGGGAGGGCCACGTCTCCAGGGACTGTGGATAAATCGGTGAGCCGAGAAGCAGCCGCAAAGTGGTTTCCGCTTTCCTACTCTTCGGTGGTGTGAACACTTTCACTTGTAAGGAAATCCGGTTTGAAAGGTGGTGGGACTCAGGCATGTTTTAGGAACGTAAGAAGAGGCCTGCTGGATCAGACTGGTGGTCCATCTAGTCCAGTATCCTGTCTCATGCAGTGGCCAACCAGTTCCTCTGGAGGGCCATCAACAGGGCAGAGAGGCGGAGGCCTTCCCCTGAGAAGACCATAAGAAGAGTCCTGCTGGATCAAACCAACAGTCCATCTAGTCCAGCATCCTGTCTCACACAGAGGCCAACCAGGTCCTCTGAAGGTCCAACAGCAAGGCACAGAACCTTCATAAGAACATGTGAAGAGCCGTGCTGGATCAGATCACTGGTCCATCTAGTCCAGCATTCTGTCTCACGTGAGGGCCAACCAGTTTTTAAAAATGTATTTACATCCCGCCTTTCTCCCTCAATGAACCCAAAGTGGCTTACATCACCCCCCTGTCCTCCCTTTTATCCTCACAACAACCCTGTGAGGTAGGTCAGGCTGAATGTATGTGACTGGCCTGAGGTCACCCAGCGAGCTTCCACGGCAGAGTAGGGATTCGAACCTGGGTCTCCCAGATCCTAATGTGACACTTTAAGCACTAGACCACGCTGTCTCTGCCTGCAGCCATCACTTTTTTATTTATTTACATCCCGCCATTCTCCCCTAATGAACCCAAAGTGGCTTACATCATCCCCCTCTCCTCCATTTTATCCTCACAACAACCCTGTGAGGTAGGTCAGGCTGAATGTATGTGACTGGCCTGAGGTCACCCAGCGAGCGTCCACGGCAGAGTAGGGATTCGAACCTGGGTCTCCCAGATCCTAATGTGACACTTTAAGCACTAGACCACGCTGTCTCTGAACTTAAATGGTATAGTATATCACTTTGAGAACCAGTTTGGTGTCGTGGTTAGGAGCGTGGACTCCGATCTGGGAGAACTGGGTTTGATTCCCCACTCCTCCACATGCAGCTGCTGGTGTGACCTTGGGTCAGTCACAAGTTCTCTCAGGGAAAGGAATTTGTAAGACGCTCTGAGACTCCTTCGGGTAGTGAACGGCGGGGTATAAATCCCATCTCTTCTTCTTCTTCTTTGATATTCCCAGGTTCCTCCAGTAGGATCCTGAGCATGGTTGCCAAGTCTGGATAGGAAATTACTGGAGACTTAGGGGGGAGATTGGGGAGGGGAGTGACTTCAGCAAGTGATCATGCCACAGAGTCCACCCTCCAAAGTGGCCATCTTTTCCCAGGGGACCTGATCATTGTCGTCTGGAGATAAGTTATCATTCCGGGAGATCTCCAGGGCCCACCTGTGACATGACTACAGGAGATCCCCAGTGTCCCTTGCAGAAACGACCATTCCGAGTAGTTTCCAAAACGAGGGAATGTTAAACCCAGGGCTCCTTCTGTAAAAAAAGCCCAGCAGGAACTCATTAGCATAATAGGCCATACCCAACAGCAGGAACTCATTAGCCTATTGGTCCACACCTCTGACAACACAGCTCATTAGCACATTAGGCCGCACCCCCATGTTACCAGAAGTGTGGTCATCTAGCCACACCCACCTCTTGCTTGTTATTCTGTTTACCTTGTTTGTCGTCAAAACCCAGGGCCTTTTTTTGTAGCAGGAACCCTTTGCATGTTAGGCCACACACCCCTAATGTAGCCAATCCTCATGAGTTTCTGCTGTTGGGTGTGGCCTGTTATGCTAATGAGTTCCTGCTGGGCGTGGCCAGCTTGGGAGCCAGCTGGAACTCCGTTCCTGTGCGTTCCTGCCCCAAAATAGCCCTGGTTAAACCAGTTAAAATCGGTAATAAGGATGAGCCCGTAGGGCTATTCCTCCCATGATTGTTACCGCACCGCTTGAGGTTCGTTTTATTTAAAGGACTTCACCCGCACCCTGCCTTTCTTCCCAACAGAAACCCGAAGCGGCTTATGTTGTTCCCCTCTCCTCAATTGTATCCTCGTAACGGCCCTGTCAGCAATGCTCCCTCTAAACTGTGGACTCTTGTGAGCAGAAACTCCGCTTTGTGAGCTACTGGCATTAAAGTTGTGAGCGGGCGATTTGGCTACTGCATGAATTAGTTTGCTCTGGAGCCGTCCTTCCCGAGCGAAGACAAAAATGGGTGAGTCGGAGGCTAAAAAACTGCGCTAGCTCACACTAACTCAGCTTAGAGGGAACACTGCCTGCGAGGTAGGTTAGGCTGGAAAGGTGTGACTGTCCCAATGACACCAAGCAATCTTCCCTGCCTTGCAGAGTGGGCATTCGAACCCGGGTCTCCAAGCCTAACATTCTAATTACACCACGCTCACTTATTTGCATGTTATGCCAGCAGCTCGTGGCTGTATCGGAGCCTGGGCGCTCCACAAGTAGGCAGATCATTGCCAGGTGGCACTAACTTTATTTCAACGTCTGTCTGCTAAGGAAGGGTGTCTCACTGCCTGGCAAAATAGATATTTAGCCCTGAACCTCCCATTTGAAGAACGGGGGGCTGCAGAGAACAGAAAATCCAGCCACCCCTGTTTCACGAGACAAATGTGGACAATCACGAGCCAATGTTCCCTCTAAGCTGTGGAGTCTCGTGAGCAATTATTCTGCTTTGTGAGCTACTGGCATTAAAGCTGTGAGCGAGCAATTTGGCTACTGCATAAATTAGTTGGCTCTGGAGCCATCCTCCCTGAGCTAAGACAAAAATGTGTGAGCCAGAGACTAAAAAAACTGTGAGCTAGCTCACACTAACTCAGCTTAGAGGGAACACTGATCACGACCTAATCAGGGAAGAAATGTAAAGAAAACAGTCGTGAGAATCTGACCCACAGATCGAGCCATCAACAAGACTTGCAAAGAAGATGCTTTCTGTATATTATGGTCACAAGCACTGCAACACAATACAAGAAACAAATTCCTTCAAATCATAAGAAAAAAACCTAGTGTAAAAATACATAATCAACGTCGCCTCCGGATTATATTATATATAGCAGCATATTTGAGCCGGAATACTTTTTGAGATCAGCGCCCTATCTGAATGTATTCTCTTTCATGACTTTCTGTAAAGCACTTTATGAGCAAGAGAGCTTTTGTACTACTCTATGATTTCTCGAGGAAGATCCAATGGTAGTGCTTGTGACCATAATATACAGAAAGCATCTTCTTTGCAAGTCTTGTTGACTGCTCGATCTGTGGGTCAGACTCCCAACCCTGTTTCACACCTTCTCCAAGTTTTACAGAACGTTTGAGTCCAAGTGGCACCTTTAAGACCAACCAAGGCCCCAGTCACACGGAGATTTTGCCGCACGAAAGGCACGAATGTCGGGCGGATTTTCGGGGCACGATCACACAGCAACATCTGGGAAGCGTAGCGCGCCCGTGGCCAACCCGTGGCATCCCGCCAAAGATGCGGAGTTAAAAAGTACCAAGGAAAGTGCACTAGTATCCGGAAAACACGCAGCACAGGCGGGTGTCTGATCGCGGGAAGGCTAGTATCCTATGGCATCAGGCGCCCATCCACGTCCTGTCACAAACTGGATGTTTTTCGTAAGCGCATGCGCACAAACACGAAACGCTTGTGCGATCGCGCCACGCGCTTCTTTGCCACGCTGCAGCATCACCATGTGATCACCAGCTAACAGCCGAAGCACGGAGACTCGGGAGACCGTGTGATCGGGCTACCGCGCTTTATTTTGCTCCAGGGCGAACAGCCACGCCTTCCCCCCCGCGTTATCTGGCCCATGTGACCGGGGCCCAAGTTTTATTACAGGTATAAACTTTCATGTGCACAACAGAAGTCTGCATACACACAAAAGCTTATACCCAGAATAAAACTTTGTTGGGCTGAAAGGTGCCCCTGGACTCAAACTTTACGCTGTTGGCTTATAATCGCACTGTTACGGTTTTATCTAATCTTGTGTTTTAATGTTCTAAAATTGTTTTTTGTAAGCCACCCTGAGGCTGACTTGGCAAACTTTGTTCTGTTGCATGGCTACCCAGCTGGATCTATCCAAGTTTTACATCTTTCGGGTATGTTAAGAACATAAGAGATGCCAATGTTGGATCAGGCCAAAGGCCCATCTAGTCCAACACTCTGTCACACAGTGGCCAAAAATACCAAGTGCCATCAGGAGGTCCACCAGTGGGGCCAGGACATTAGAAGCCCTCCCACTGTTGACCCCCCAAAGCACCAAGAAGACAGAGCATCACTTGCCCCAGAGCCCCTATCTATACCTTGTGGCTAATATCCACTGATGGATCTCTGCTCCATATGCTGATCTAATTCCCTCTTGAAGCCGTCTATGCTTGTAGCCGCCACCACTTCCTGTGGCAGTGAATTCCAAGTGTTAATCACTCTTTGGGTGAAGAAGTACTTCCTTTTATCCGTTCTAACCCGACCGCTCAGCAATTTCCTTGAGTGCCCACGAGTTCTTGTATTGTGAGAGAGGGAGAAAAGTACCTCTTTCTCTACCTGCTCTTTCCCATGCATAATCTTGTGAACCTCAATCATGTCACCCGTCAGTCGTCTTTTCTCCAAGCTAAAGAGCCCTAAGCGCTTTAACCTTTCCTCATGGGGAAAGTGTTCCAACCCTTTTATCATTCGAGTTGCCCTTTTCTGCACTTTTTCCAAAGCTATAATATCCTTTTTAAGGTGTGGTGACCAGAACTGCACGATGTCCTCTCGCTCAGTGTCAGGGTTGCCAATTTCAAGCTGAGAAATTCCAGGAGGTTTGGGGTTGGAGCCTGGGTAGGTGGGGTTGTTTGGAGCGTGTAGGGCTATCTTTCGGCTATGCTCCTGCATAGTGCAGGGTGTTGGACTAGATGACCTGCAAGGTCCCTTCCATCTCTAACATTCTATGATTCTATGATTCTACAGTCACACTATGTAGACTTTTATTTTTTTAAAAAAACACCCTTTCCACTATGCATACAAGACTCCTCTTCCCACATGACACCTAAATGCTTAAGTTACACTTCATTAAACACTATGTAAACGTTCATGAGCAATGAGTCGTCCACCCCTCCTTCCTCTGGAGACATTTACAGAACAGATGTAACCAATTTGAATAAATTCTTGTCAATAAATAAATTCTCTAGGCTTGTTTTATAATAAATGAAGGAATGCGCACATGAACCCTCTCTGATAAGACAGGCTGCTAAACTCAGACGGGCTGGGGAACCAGATGGTCAATTCTTATTTATCCCTGGGCTTTTATGTTTTCAATGGGGATACGCAAAAAGATGTCTGCCTAGCACGAGAGTAAAAGCATATATATTTTAAGTGTTGTGGTTCAACCCAAACACTGATGGTTCAAGGGAGTTCTTTTAAACTGAAGAATGACATTATGGTGGCCAAAGATGGTTCCCCCCCATATTAACTTTATATTTTATATAGTTTATGAACAAATACATACATATATATGCATATCAACTAAACAACCAGGCCCATGATGTCCTCTCCCTCAGTGTCAGGGTTGCCAATTTCAAGCTGGGAAATTCCAGGAGGTTTGGGGTTGGAGCCTGGGTAGGTGGGGTTGTTTGGAGCGTGAGGCAGGGGTCATTTCCTGCAGGACCACACAGGAGCAGAGCTCCGGCAGTAAAGAGCCCAGGGGGCGGGCACATGCAACAAGCCCCACCCCCTGCTCCCGGCAGCCCTCAGTCAGAGCAAGAAGCAGCCAGGTAAGCTGCAGAGCCCCCGTCCCCCGTCCCAAAACAGTCCAGTGGCACCTTTTATTCAGGTACAAGCTCTCCCTTCTCTGTGAGGACAGATCTGCACGTCCCCCCCCCATAGCTAGCAATCCAGAACAATCCAGTGGAGCCTGAGAGGTGGGTGTTGCCTTCTGACACACTTCCGGTGATGTCAGGGGGTGTGGCATATGCTAATGAGTTATGCTAATGAGCTCCTGCACCTGTTTGTCTACAAAATGACCCCTGGCGTGAGGTATAACTCCATACAGTCCATCATCCAAAGCAGCCATTTTCTGGTGTAGTAGTTAAGTGTGTGGACTCTCATCTGGAAGAACCGGGTTTGATTCCCCACTCCTCCACTTGCACCTGCTGGATGACCTTGGGCAGGCTGGCCTGGGCTCTTTTTGTAGCAGGAACTCCTTTGCATATTAGGCGACACACCCCTAATGTAGCCAATCCTCCAAGAGCTTACAGAGCTCTTCTTACAGGGGCTACTGTAAGCTTTTGGAGGATTGGCTACATTAGGGGTGTGTCGCCTAATATGCAAAGGAGTCCCTGCTACAAAAAGAGCCCTTCTGTCAGAGCTGTTCTTGAAAAACAGCAGTTTCTGTCATGTTATAGTATATTAATTTGAGAACCAGTTTGGTGTAGTGGTTAGGGGTACGGACTCCGATCTGGGAGAATCGGGTTTGATTCCCCACTCCTCCTCCACATGCACCTGCTGGTGTGACCTCAGGTCAGTCACAAATTTTCTCAGAGCTGTTCTCTCAAGGGCAGTTCTTGAGAGAGCTCTCTCAGCCCCACCTCCCTCACAGGGTGTCTGTTGTGGGGAGAGGAAGGGAAAGGAGTGTGTAAGCCGCTCTGAGACTCCTCTGGGTAGTGAAGGGCGGGGTATGAATCCAATCTCTACTTCTTTCTCTAGGGAAATGGAGTTCTGTAGTCTGGAGATTAGTTATTGTTCTGGGGGTTCTCCAGGCCACACCTGGAGGCTGGCAACTCTGTCTCCAGGCAGCCTCCTAGCATATTTGGTTCATTGCATTGGCCTGGTTTTTTTTATTTTTGGGGGGTAATGCCGGCCGCCAGCTGCACACATAAACCTGTCAGCTTCAATATGCGGTGTTTTCAAACCTTGCTCCTGGTGTTTATAGGAAGCCCTGGCACCTTCCCTGGTGCAAACTGGGGTTAAATTATTCCTCGTTCTATTTGTATTTAAATGTTCTGTTTGGATGAGAAGTTGTGAAGCTGAGGTGTCAGACGAGTTGGGAGAACAGGGCGCCACCGCACGTGAGCGGCAAAAGGCAGAGGGGGGGGGCCCGAGCCGAGAAGCGCCAATGAATGCAGCCGAAGGGCCAGAAGACGATCGGGTCTGGCTACTCCACCAGACCAGTGACACAAAGGGGGCCCGAATCACAAGGGGCGAGAGCAAAAATCATCTAGGTGTACATCTGCATTATCATATAGATGGCTATCCGCTTCTCCTATAATCCTGGCATGTGTACAGAACCGAGAGCAAGGGGGAGGAGGGAAATGGAGCCCTCCCAGAATAACGAAGTAACAGCTAGAGACAGAAGAAAGGAGTCCACATTAGGATCACAGAATCATGGAGTTGGAAGGGTCCAGACAGGCCATCTAGTCCAAACCCCTGCTCAGTTCAGGATCGGCCTAGAACATCTCTGACAAGCAGGGGTCATTTCCTGCAGGAGCGCACAGGAGCGGAGCTCCGGCAGTAAAGAGCCCAGGGGGCAGGTACATGCAACAAGCCCCACCCCCTGCTCCCAGCAGTCCTCAGTCAAAGCAAGAAGCAGCCAGGTAAGGCCCAAAACAGTCCGGTGGCACCTTTAAGACCAAGTTTTATTCAGGTACAAGCTGGTACTATGGCTTCTTGTGATTTGGAGGTTATGCCTCTGTTGATACACCCCAAGATCGCATTAGACTTTTTTGTCACTGCATCACACTGGCTGCTCATATTTAACTTTCGGTCCACCCATACCCCAAAATCTTGTTCGCACACACTGCTACCCAGACAAAGTGACACACAGCCAGGGAGTAGTAATTATTCCAGATTTATTAATGCACGGTGCGAATGATCATAGAATCATAGAATGTTAGAGTTGGAAGGGACCTTGCAAGTCCCGCAGAAACTAAGCAAAGACTGCAATCATGTCCCCTCTAAGCCTTCTCTTTCCCAGGCTAAACATACCCAACTCTTTCAGCCTTTCCTCGTAAGACTTGGATTCCAACCCTCTCACCATCCTGGTTGCCCTCTTCTGGACACGCTCCAGCTTGTCAACATCCTTCCTAAAATGTGGTGCCCAAAACTGGACACAGGACTCCAGGTGAGGCCTGACCGTAGCAGAATAGAGCGGTGATCTGGACACAATGCTTCTGTTAATGGATCCTAAGGTTGCATTAGCTTTCTTCACAGCCACATCGCACTGCAGGCTCATGTTTAGCTTGTGATCCACCAGAATACCTAGATCCCTTTCACATGAGCTGCTGTCAAGCCAAGTCCCTCCCATTCTATATCTGTGCCTTTGATTTCTTCTACCTAAGTGTAGGACTTTGCACCTATCTCTATTGAAATTCATTTTATTTGTCTCAGCCCACTGTTCTAGCCTATCTAGATCATTTTGAATCCTGACTCTGTCTTCTTCAGAATTAGCAACCCCACCTAACTTCATCTGCAAATCTGATAAGCATCCCCTCTATGTCTTCCTCCAGGTCATTTATAAAAACATTGAACAACACCGGGCCTAGGACCGAGCCCTGTATAAATTAGTTTGCTCTGGCACCATCCTTCCTGAGAAGGATATATATATATATATATATGAAGGGCGATGCAACGGGCTGCTAGCCCCCCTCTGCCTCCTCCCCCTCTCCTCCGTGCCCCAGCCGCCTGTCGGAGGCAGGCACTTGGGGGAACGTGCCTGGTCGCGAGCGCTCCGTGTCCGCCATGACGCAGCCGTCCGGCCGTCGCCCGTCGCAGCCGCTCGTAACCTCCGGGCCCCCTCGTCTCCTCCCCGTCTCCAGCGCGCCCCAGGCGGCTGCCAGCGCTTGCGTCCTCCATCTCCGGCGTGACGCAGGCGGCCGGCGGTCTGAGTCGACCGCCCGTCGCAGCCGCCCGTCACCTCCAGCCCCCGGGAACATCGTCCACAGGCTCCGGGCTTAGGGCGGCGCCCGGCACAGCCGCCTGTCGCCTCCAGCCCCCAGGAACGCGAAGCTGCGTCTGAGGTGGGACTCAGACGCCGTGGCAAATGGGACGTGGCCACGCCGCTGACGGACAGCCGAGCCGTCCAAACACTGTAGGGGCGCATTGCGTGAAGTTTGCGTCTTACTGCTTTATTATATAGGAGAGATATAAAGAAGGCTTCTCGAGAATGGTTGACTTATGCACAGTTAAGATCGAGAGCTTTGGTTCCAGGAAAATATGTCTGCCTGAAGAAGAATTTGTCGAAACACGCAATTTTTGCCTGGGAGGCATGTTCCTTGCTTTGATGCTTGCTGAAACACTTTGTGTGGGAAATACAACTGCCTGCTGCATTTCTCGTGCCTGCTTTGATGCCTGCTCAATTACTCTTTGTAGAGAATAGAACAGCCTGCTGCATCTCTCATCATTTATGACTGTTGCATAATTAGTCCTTTATCAGGAGCGAGATAGTCTACAGTGTTGGAATAGGTCTTTGTAGCTGTGGACTCTTCTATTAGTAGATGCAACGTACTTTAGGTTTGTGTATGTGGATAAAATATACTAGAGTCTCTATTGCAAGTAAGTCAATATATGAAGATGATACAAGGACATATTAGTAGAAGTGTGTTTTGTTCTATCATGGTGTTTCTTTATGGTAGCCTCCAGGTGGGGCCTGACGATATCCCAGTATTACAACTGATCCCCAGACTAAAGGGATCGGTTCCCTTGGAGGAAACGGTTGTTTTGGAGGGGGCACTCTGTGGTGTCGTACTGCGATCCTTCACCAAACCCTGCCCTCCACAGGCGCCTAGGGTTGCCAAGTCGTACCTTATCCTGAAGTGGGGGACTTCTCACAACAGACACCCTGTGAGGTAGGTGAGGTTGAGAGAGCTCTGACAGAAACGGCTCTTTTTCAAGAACAGCTCTGACAGGACTATGGCTTGCCCAAGGTCATCCAGCCAGGTGCATGTGGAGGAGTGGGGAATCAAACCCGGCTCTCCCAGATTAGAGTCCGAGCACTTAACCAGAGAGAGAGAGACAGAGAGAGGATGTATTCCTAAGAAGCAGAACAGTAGAATTTTCGCACTTCTTCGGAGGAAACCTTCCAAGATTCTCCTGGATGCCCTTGGTGGGGTCAGCTGCACAAAAGCCAGCGTGTCAGAGAAATAAGTTTCAGCACCTAAACTCATTTCAACGGGTGACCCGAAGGTGCTTGCGAAAGGAAAAAAAACCACCCAGCCTCTGGAAGCCTAAACAGGCTGTGACATAAATAGGCGGCGCCATTCCGGCCTCCATCTCTTGGGATGTCTGGCACGGTGCATGCAAGGAAGAGCGATTAAAAGGGGGAAAGAAAGAAAGAAAGAAAGAAAGAAAGAAAGAAAGAAAGAAAGAAAGAAAGAAAGAAAGAAAGAAAGAAAGAAAGAAAGGGTGGTAGTATGGGGGGGAGTGAGGCATATTTTCCTCGCGCCGGAGCCGCGATGCCATTTTGGATCAAATTAAACTTCAGCTTTTAAAGACTCGGGCTGAGGTAATTGAAACACTTCCCGAAAGTTGCCCGGGCCACGGAGGCCTTATCTCGCTTCGCCTTGCTGTATCATTCATGGCTTCCCCCCAAGCTGGAGACGGCGCGCCTGGCCCTCCGCCTCCTTAATATTAAAGGCCGTGATTAAATGGGATTCGCCAAAAGACAAAAGGCCGAGAAACCTGCCAATTGTTAATCCCTCTTTCGCCCGTGCTTAAAAATTCCATTTCCTTCATTGGGAGGAAGGAGGGAGCGGCCGGTGCGCCCGGGCCTCATTGAAATTCTGGCTTCGCAGGTCTGCCTCCCTCCTTGCCTCCTCTTGACGTTGGAATGTATTCCTTTATTACCATTATTACAGCTTTCTGATTGCATTAAAATTCATCCACACGCTTCCCTCCTGCATTCCCCACTTTTCTTTTTGGGCCAATTCTTTTACTAATTCCCTTTTTTTGGGGGGGGGGGCTTCCAAAAGGGAGTCTCCCTCCCCATTTTTTTGAATTATACAGAATAACATTTTAAAAATCTCCAGAAAGAGAGAAAGAAAGAAAGAAAGAAAGAAAGAAAGAAAGAAAGAAAGAACCCCTTTTCTGTTCCTTTGCTTTTGTAAACTTGTCTGGATGGAGAGAGGAACGAACGAATGAATGAAGGAATGAAGGAAGGAAGGAAGGAAGGAGGGAGGGAGGGAGGGAGGAAGAAGTCCCATAGCCAGGATTTTTTTTAAAGTCAGGGGGCATTTAATTTTCTTAGGGGGCACTGGCTAATCAGTTTAATCCAGGGGAGAAGGCCGTGACACCCTGGGCTAGATGAGAAGCCAGGGGGCCTTGCCAGCAAGTCAGGGGGCCTAGCCCCGAGATGCCCCAATGTAGCTACGGGCCTGGAAGGAAGGAAGGAGAGGGGAGGAAAGAAAGCTGAAAATTCACCTTTGCCTAATATCTCTGGTGTCCTGAAAAGGTTGCTCATAAATGGGGGGGGGGTCGCTGCTCGATTTCTGTACTTACTCTTATATTTGTTACAATCCGTAAAACAGGAAAGTTTCCAACTGCGTAGCAATGTACAACTCAATTGGGATATTTCTTATACTTGACAAATTGATCATCAAATGGACATCTTTTTATTTGCTGCTTGTATTGGTGTGTATTTGGTTCCTACTTTTGTTCGTCTTTTCTGTTTCAACAAATATACAGGAGGTGTAACTAGTTCAGCTCAAATGATGCTACCTATCTGGTACCAATTAGGGATTCATTGAAGTATAAACTATAATGATGACATTTGGGGTATAAGACGAACTGCCCTTCCAGGTTGGGACAGAATACAGATTGGTGTTCCTGGGTGCCAAGGTATCCAGTCCTGTATTGTGCATCAATCTTGAAGGTGCTACTGGGCTTGACTCCAGCTCTTACACCGAGACTTCTGTTCCATGCAGGAATCCCCCCCAAAAAACACCCATGGGTGGGGGACACAAAAAAGACATCGAGGGAGAAGAACAAGAGTCACATGGTGACCAGAATGTTAGATTATGAGCTGGAATGCCCAGGTTCAACTCCCTGCTCTACCTGGCTGGGTTGAGATAAGGTTAAGGAATCTCTCAGTCACCTAAACGACTTTATGGGGTGGCTGTGAAGATGAAACAGGGAAGGGGGAACGCCACACCTTGCCCTGGAGGAAAGTCAGGATTGAAAGGCATCGGATTGATGCTCCACTCTGCCTAAAGTGTGTGCCAAGGCCCATCAGGTTGCAGCTGAGTTATGACGACATCACCTAGGGTATTTCAAGGCAAGGGAGAAGCAGAGGCAATTTGCCATTGCCATCCTCTGCAGAGCCTTCCTTGGTGGTCTCCCATCCAAGACTTATGGCGACCCCAGTAAGGGTCTTTCAAGGCAAGTGAGAAATAGAGGTATTTTGCCATCACCTTCCTCTGCAGAGTCTTCCTTGGTGGCCTCCCATCCAAGACTTATGGTGACCCCACCAAGGGTCTTTCAAGGCAAGTGAGAAGCAGAGGTGGTTGGCCATTGCCTTCCTCTGCAGAGCCTTCCTTGGTGGTCTCCCATCCAAGACTTATGGTGACCCCAGGAAGGGGCTTTCAAGGCAGGCGAGAAGCAGAGGTGGTTGGCCACTGCCTTCCTCTGCAGAGTCTTCCTTGGTGGTCTCCCATCCAAGACTTATGGTGACCCCAGTAAGGGTCTTTCAAGGCAAGTGAGAAATAGAGGTATTTTGCCATCACCTTCCTCTGCAGAGCCTTCCCTGGTGGTCTCCCATCCAAGACTTATGGTGACCCCAGTAAGGGTCTTTCAAGGCAAGTGAGAAGCAGAGGTGGTTGGCCACTGCCTTCCTCTGCAGAGTCTTCCTTGGTGGCCTCCCATCCAAGACTTATGGTGACCCCAGTAAGGGTCTTTCAAGGCAGGCGAGAAGCAGAGGTGGTTGGCCACTGCCTTCCTCTGCAGAGCCTTCCTTGGTGGTCTCCCATCCAAGACTTATGGCGACCCCAGGAAGGGGATTTCAAGGCAGGCGAGAAGCAGAGGTGGTTGGCCGCTGCCTTCCTCTGCAGAGCCTTCCCTGGTGGTCTCCCATCCAAGACTTATGGTGACCCCAGTAAGGGTCTTTCAAGGCAAGTGAGAAGCAGAGGTGGTTGGCCACTGCCTTCCTCTGCAGAGTCTTCCTTGGTGGTCTCCCATCCAAGACTTATGGTGACCCCAGTAAGGGTCTTTCAAGGCAGGTGAGAAGCAGAGGTGGTTGGCCACTGCCTTCCTCTGCAGAGTCTTCCTTGGTGGCCTCCCATCCAAGACTTATGGTGACCCCAGTAAGGGTCTTTCAAGGCAGGCGAGAAGCAGAGGTGGTTGGCCACTGCCTTCCTCTGCAGAGTCTTCCTTGGTGGCCTCCCATCCAAGACTTATGGTGACCCCAGTAAGGGTCTTTCAAGGCAAGTGAGAAGCAGAGGTGGTTGGCCACTGCCTTCCTCTGCAGAGCCTTCCTTGGTGGTCTCCCATCCATGTCCTGCTTTGCTTCTGAGATTTGACAAGATCAGGATATACCCTGCTGGCTTCTGTCCCACTCTGCCTAATAGCCTCTCCCTTTGTTTCCACCTGTGTTTTATTCCTCAGCTAGTGGGGAAAAAACCCAAAACCTAGCAAGGGAGGCTATGAGAGCAAATGATACCATTGCTAAATAGAGAACCCTCCCCTGCCCAGTGCAGCATCCTGCTCTGTTCAAGTCAGCTACATGAATCACATGCCTTTAGCAGAACCTGCCATTTTGCACACTGCTTTTCAAGGATATGGCCTAGAGATCCATATAAGCCTCTTTTAGTTCGGGCACAACTCAACTTGGAAACTTTCCATTGGAGGCCAAGACCAGGAAAGAGAGTCTCCCCGCCCACCATCTCCTTCAAGCTCAGCCCCGTTTTCTAGTTCCTACGCTTCCTACTGTTGGATATTGTAACTCTGTGTGCGAGAGGATTTGGGAGGGAAGGGGTTAAGAGGATTCTCTCTCTCTCTCTCTCTCTCTCTCTCTCTCTCTCTCTCTCTCTCTCTCTCTCATGTACACTTGGCAGTTCCCCCCCCCCCATGGGTTAGAGACAGTTTAGTGTAGTGGTTAAGAGCAGCGGACTC